GTGAGCTCGAGTCCAGTGCCTCCCTTCCTGCTGAAGAACCAGCTTGTTTGCAGCCACATGAAGCCAGGCAGCACCAGTGGGCTTCCTGTTGTCTGTCTCCGCTGCACCCTTCCTCAGCATGCCACTCTGCAGCGGTGCTTTCTCTTTTCCTCTGCCATAGCAAAACACAACAATTGCCCGTGGTAAACACCTGTCTCTGTGTCCACACACAGTTAGCAGGACTGGATCTATAGACTCTACTTCTGGGCAATAGCTGGCGTAGTGTGGAGGAAGGAAGAGTACCTGGATGACAATGATCCCCTTCATGCCGTGTGAATGTCTGTCCCTGTAAGCAGAGCACCCCAACTTCCACACTCTTGATATTTAGGGCAAAGAATGCTTTGTTGTGGGGCCCTGTCCTGTGCAGTCTTACCCAAAAGCATCTCCATCCACCCCTCTTGTAACACCTGGAAGTGTCTCCAGACACCACCGTAAACAGAAAAGTCACCGCTCAGCTCAGAACAGTGGCTGTCACAAGTTAGCTGTCACTTTTTTATTTTATACCTCACTATACCTGCTCTGATGCTGAATGTTCAGTTAACTTATTTAAAGCATAACCAGGGACACTGAGATTTGTCTCACTGGTAATGGAAGCTTAAAACCCTGGTTCAGGCAGGGTTCCCAAGCTTAAGATTCTATTTGAGCAAGTAAAATAACATAAAATAACTGTCTTAGACACTTTCTGGGAAGATAAATTTTATTCTCCATCATTACCCATTCCCTTTGTCTATAATTTGACCCGCCTACTCAAAATTTTTAAGGATTGGTTTTGTCTAACAGGGATTTTGTTTTATTTTTTTTTTAAAGCCATATTGGTTATGTGTGAATTGTCCACCCTTTTACAGTCTCTGTTCTGTGAGTTTACACAATAAGTCTCTAGTATGAGACAGACGTGGGAGTGAAAATATTTCTTCCCAACCACAGGAAGGGATTGTTACAATGCGTCTTAGAGGCGGATAGCCAGGTACCTCACCCAGCAGGAAACAGGGAACTGTTCCTGCAGTTGGAAAGTAGCTTTATCTGAGATAATCCATTCCATAAACTTCCTCTGCAGAAGAGATGATCCAAGTGATGGGCATTTTTTTTTTTTTTTGCTGTTTTTTTTTTTTTTTTTTTAATACTCAAACATCCTTATATGGAAAAACTACCATTGTCTTAGTTTCTTTTCCCTTTACTCTGACAAAATACTCTGACCAAAGCAATTTAAAAGAGAAAGGATTTACTCTCAGTCACAGCTCAGGGTACAGCCCATTACGGTGGGGAAATCAAGGCAGCAGGAGCTTGAAGCAAATGGTTGCCTCACATCTGAAAATCAGAAAGCAGAGAGGGATGAAGGCGTTTTGCTGCTCAGCTGTCTCTCTCCCTTATGTAGTCCAGGAGCCCATCTAGGGAATAGCTGTGAAGACCTACCTCAGTGGGCGGGTCTTCACATCTCAGTTAACCCAGTCAAGATGATTCTCACATACATCCCTAGAGCCCCATCGTCCAGGTGACTCTATATTCTGTCAAGCTGACAGTTAACACTCACCATCATCTCTTTAAGAGAAACAAACTTAAAATTAACAAGTACCTTGTGGTTGAAAAATAATATACATTAATGGTCAGTTGTTTTACAGAAGGATGGACTTCTGTCTTTAGACTTTAGTGGTTTATTTATTGTCTTACAGCATGCTTATTACCGATGAAAGGACATTGCATCTGCACAAACATGGAGTCAGACAAAGCTGGAAAATTCCAGGTGGTCTCTGATGATAGTATCCGAAAGAGCTAGACAACAAGAGAGTGTGTCTGTTACTTAATGGCTTATGCTTGAATAGTAAATAAGAGAGAACATGGCTGTGTGGTCAGACAGTTATTTTTATCATCTGGGCATAATTTTTAAAGAAACAGAGAAATCAATAGTGTTATAAAAGCCACTTACACTCTGAGCTTGAAGCAACTGCTTTATGCCATGAAATTCCCCTTGCTACTTCCGTTAGTGGCTGAGTAATTCAGTGTGTCTTGAATGTCAATGTTTTTATTACACAGCTAATGTTGGCTTTGCTGGATTAAATGTCATTTAAAGTGATCAATTGGAGGCTTGTTTGGGTTTACTTTCAAATTTATGAAAGGGGGAAAAAGTTGCAATATACAAATGTTCTTGAAGCTTACAAGTACAGTCTGTTCTCCGGCAAGCCCTGCCATGCGTTTGCCATCCAGTGGCACATTGCGCAGTCATTTTCCGGAACCCAGTTTGATGCCTCTGAAAAGCCCGATGTAAAACCCCGGGGCTGGGTAAGCCTTTAGCTGAAGAAATAATCCAAGGGACACTGAATATCTGGGATGGGCCATGACCGTAAAAGCTCCGCAGGAAGCCTGGAGCCCAGAGGTGTGTGATTGCCCTCTGTTGACCTTATTAAGGTGAACACACTAGAACGGGGCATGAGGGTGTGTACATGTGATCCTATTACTGGGTTAAGTGAGGGCAGGATGATCATGAGAGGTAGCATCCAGCCAGTCTAGCTTGATGAGTGGGCCTCAAGTTCAGTGAGAGACCCTGTCTCAGAAAATACAGTGCGGAGCAGTTGAAGAGATACCCAGCCTTGATTTCTGGCTTCCACACATGTGTACTTGTACTTGTGGGCACACATGATTGTTACCACTCAGCCATGCACAACATGGCTGTGTGAACACCTTTGTTTCTCCTCACTGAACAGCATTTTATGTGGAAGTGCTTGGTTTGGGGAGATGTTTTCCAGTTGAGTGAAACTATAGAAAAGTCAAATGCGCCTGCCATTTGATTGTGACACCAAACCTGGGCAAGAGAACCACAGCCCAGTTCTTATCTTAGTCCATCCAGGCTGAAACAGTAGAAAATAGCCAAATGTGGTGGTGCATACCTGTCATCTCAGCACTTGGAGACAGGAAGATCACCTCAAGTTTGAGACCAGCCTGGGCTATATACCAAAACTCTTTCTCCAAAACAGCAGGAAGTAAAGAAGAATAGGAAGGGAAGAGGAAAAGGACACAGAAAGGATGTGTCTCACAAGCTTCCAGAGGCTACAGGGTTGAAGGGCAGAGCACTGGTAGATTTGAGGTCTGCCAATGGATGTGTGCTCTTTTTCATAGGTAGCATCTTCTTGCTGTGTCCTCACGGATATCTATAAGGGATGTCTTATAGGTGTCTTTTATAAAGGCACTATTTGGGGCCGGAAAGCTAGCTTATGAATTCTTGCCAAGACCCCAAGTTCAATTCCCAGCACCCACACGGCAGCTCACAACCATCTGTAAGTCCGGTTCTAGGGAATCCAACACCCTCTTGTGGCCTGCATGGTACCCTGCACACGTACAGTACACATTTACTCACACAGGTGCGCACACACACACACACACACACACACACACGCATAAATAGCACATACAGTCACTGGTTTTCTGTTACCAGCCATCTGGCTAACCCCTGGTCCCCAGAACCATGCAGTGAGCAGCTGAAAAGGGCACCTCTTACTCTCAACCAGGGGCCAGTCCACTGTACCTGGAAGACACATGCCTATCTCCACTTACCTACTAGGTTGCGCTGGAGGGTGACCCAGGTACCTTTACAGCACAGACCCAGAAGCCATGGACTTACGGCCAAAACCATGGGCCGAGCACAGTGCAGGGCCACACTGAATCATGTGATGAGGGTTTGCTGCCTGACCACATAATTGGGTATCAGCCCTGCAAATGAGAAATGATTGTCTTGCACCAAGAAAATCCTTTCTGCCATGATTCCATTATGATAAAGCAACTTGAAAAACCTCCAGGATGATTTAACAAGAACATCTGTATTTCTTTTCAAAATGCCAGCCACAGTGCCCACAGCCAACGTCACCAAGCCACACAGTTTTTATTTTCCATCATTTCTCATTTATTGCTACTTTCTCTTTAGCCCGTCTTCCTGTATCCATTCAGCATCTTCCACCAGCTGCAGAGTAATCTTTAAACAGTAATCTTTTAACTTTTCATCATACTAGTCTCATTAGAACTATAAGATTTGGGGGGGGGAGCTCAGGAAATGGGTCAGTTTTGGTAAAGTGTTTGCCACAAAAGCTTGGAGACCTGATAGCGACCCCTAGCACTCACCTAAAAAGCCAGATATGGCAGTGTGTATCTGTAAACTTGGGGAGACAGAGACAGGGGGATTCCTGGAGCTTGAGGGCCAGCCAGTTTAGATTCCTGTTTAGTGAGAGGCTGTATTTCTAAATAAGTAAATAAATAATAGGTGAAGGGGCTGGACAGATAGCTCAGTGTGTAAGTGCTTGTTATACAAACAGAAGGACCTGAGTTTGAACTTCTAGCACTCTTGTAAAAATCAGGTAAAAAGCCATGTAAAACAGCAGTGCGTGACTGTAAGCCCAGAACTGGGGAGGGTAAGGGATGTAGATGGATTTTTTAGAGTTGGCTAGCCAGCCATCCTAACCAAAATGGTGACCTCCAGGTTTAGTGCCTCAAGACAGTAAGGTGGAGGATGGTAAAGGAAATACCCAGTGTCTCCTCTAGCTTCCTAGTGAGTACAGTTACAGTCTTACACCTCTCTCTCTCTCTCTCTCTCTCTCTCTCTCCCTCTCTCCACCATTGTCCCTCTAGCCTTTTTGTAGCCCATTGTCAAAGCCTGTTTATTCATTTGCAGGTATAGCTTGGTGCCTCACCCTTCAGAGTGTCTGGTTCAGCTTCAAGTTTTGTCATGACTTTGAACAAGTCTTTTCCTCCTCCTTGATCCTCACATAGAGGTGACGGCCTCGGTCAGCCAGGAGCCTCCCTGGGTCAAAGGTCAACGGGAGCTCACAGGCTCTCTCTGGACCCATTTCATCTGTGAAATGAGGAAATAAGACAATCAATCAGTCAAAAACCAGGCCCAAGCTGTGATTACAGATCCTTTTTCTGAATCTCGTGACTGCCTCCACAAAGTTCTCAACAGCACTCTCCCCTTTCCTCTGTAGACTGTAGACTGCTTTGGGATTACGTCTATCAGTTGCTCTCTGACAGCCGGTACGAAAACTTCATCCGATGGGAGGACAAAGAATCCAAAATATTCCGGATAGTGGATCCCAATGGACTGGCTCGGCTGTGGGGAAATCATAAGGTAAAAAGGCCAAATGTTTGGGAAAGCTGGTGCCAAAACACAGTCTCCATCCTTGGATTGGAGGGTGGCTGTCTCCTCTCCCTCCAGATTTTCTGCCCGTGATTATTTGGTTTGTTCCTCACTGGACAAACAGTTAGGTAGTTGTGAAGGAAGGAAATAATTAAAGGTACCTTTTTTTTTTCCCCCATCCACGACCTCTGTCCAGGGCGAATTAACTCAGCAGAGCTCAGTTCAGTAAACTCATTATAAATGCTTTCCCCTTGCCACTCCCCTTGACCTGGACCTGCCACTCTGTTGTCCTTAGGTTCTGGGGAATAGGGAAGTAGTGAGAGCTGTATGACTCACAAGGGACCTTTGGGAAGTGTTACTTCTGTCCCTACCAGTTGGAAACTCCCCTTTTCACGAAAGTCCATTTCTGCATGGAAAAATATGTTCTGATTATAAAACATACCCTTTACGAGCAAGAGGTGCAAGAAGTCTGCCCCCACAGTTTTCCAGAGTAGGAAGAGGAAGTGGAATTCAAAACATAATCCTTTATAGTAAGGAAGGCAGTCAAATGTGCAGATATGGAAAGGAGATAATTGATGTAGAAGGAGATCCAGGACTAAGCTGGGGACACTAACGTGGCGTGACTGAGCCCTTTCCCAGCCGAGAAAGACCAGCCAAGGGCCATGGACAAATATATCAAGGCCACATAAACAGACATAAGTTCATGAGTCACTGAGGGACCTTCTGTGCACTGCCCATCCACAATGACAGGCCCGAGGCCAGTGTGAAAAAGTCATTGCAACCAGAAAAGAACTTTTATGTGAACCAGGACAGGAAGGTTGGACCACCTGTCTCTCACCTGAGACAGGAAGCCGGGAGCAGGAATGATGACAGCTGCGGTGGGAAGGGATGGCTTAGTTAGCACTCCCAGCCTGAACTAGGGCAGTTCAGTTGAGGAGGACAGCAGAGGAAGGGCCCTAGAGGGCAGCAGACCAGCGGTCAGGTAGAGCTCCCATGGCGAGGACATGTGGGGCCACTCAACAGTCTATTTTAATAGCTGCCTGGTGCCTTTTCTGAGGTTCATTTCATTGTGTCTTTGTGCTTTTTTTTTTCTCTCTCTCTCTCCCTTCCTCCTTTGAACAAACAGAACAGAACAAACATGACCTATGAGAAAATGTCCAGAGCCCTGCGCCACTACTACAAATTAAACATTATCAGGAAGGAGCCCGGACAGAGGCTTTTGTTCAGGTAGCACTTCCTCTTTTTCCTTTCCTTCTCTGGGGAGGATATATTCTTTACATAAGAGGGAGGAGGGAGACTGTCAGGAACTCCGACGTGCCGAACTAAGACCCAGAGCCATTACCGCAAAGACTGTTGATTGGAAACTGGGTGCTGGTTTGTTAGGACTTAAAAGGAAAAGATCGTTCTTTTTGCTTAAGTCCATCCAGTATGAAAGCCAAAGCTAAATGCAATCTGACTCAGCTTTAAAATCACATCATGACCAAATAGCATTATCTGACTTCGAAGTCCAGTGGAGTTAAATGGAGCAATCAGAGTAACTATTGTTGCTAGCAAAGTGAAGGATTAAGCTGGGACTTCCAGGTCACCAAACCTGGAAGCAGCTTTGTCAAGCTTCGGGTCATGACCCATAGTGAGTCACTGTGTGAGTGTAATTGGTCAGCAGCAACTCACTTTTTTTTTTTTTTTGTTTTTTTTTGTGAAATAGGGACTACAATCTGATGGAGTTGGAAGTACCAAATTATAGCTCATCAAGTAAGAGTGACTGTCAATTCATAAAGATTTTATTTCACGCATGTGTGTTCATGTGTGTACACAATCATGTGGAGGCCAGAGGTCATTTCTCAGGCCCTGTCCACCTTGTTTTTTGAGATGAGGTCTCACTGGCTTGGGGCTGGCTAAGAAGCTCCAAGGATCTACCTGTCCCCACCTCCCAGCAACTGGGACTACTGAGCATAAGCGCTCTGTATCCCCTTCTGTGTGGGTAGGAACTGAACTGGTACCTACACGCACGGAAGCATTTGCCAGCTGAGCCCCTCCAATCAGACGCCTCACAAATGCATCACAGTTAGGAAAGTGTGACAGGCACTGAAGTAGGCAGCTCTCCCTCCTTGCAGGTCCCCATAGCTGATGATTCCAGCTGTTGCAGCTACTACCCTGGAGATTGTGGTTCCTGGAAGTAGAGAAGAAGGGAGGATCTGAAGGGATACTGAGGGCATCGAGGTGGAGCCCTGACACATGAGTCACTGATGTGACGAGAGGAAGTGAGATCACAAGTTGGACTTCAGGCTACAGGTTTTGGCGAGTAGGACAGAAAGAAAGTGCAAGAGCTGGGGCTAGAGATGTGGATTTAGAATCGGCTATGCACAGGTGGGGAAATGTCACTGTGTGAGGAGCTGCGCTGACAAGGCAATGGTGGTCGTCAGGAGAGCCAAGAGGCGAGGCGTTAGCACTGAGATGGAGTGGTAATGTAGCAACAATAGAAGCCGTGTCCGTGTGTAAAGGGAGCAGAAAAGGCTGATGAAGAAATGGCAGTAGAGTAGACTAAACACAGCAGAGCTCTTCTTGCCTGTAGCTCTGGTCACACCTTCTTCATCCTTCACCCCAAACTTTCAACTCCCCACTCTTTTATCCTAGATGACTGGGCCCCACTACACTCAACTTCCTTTGTAACCTCAGTCGTTGGTCTTAAACCTAGCTCTGAAAACCCTCCTGGAATTTTTCAAAGAGATGATTGCATGATGTGTCCACTAAGATATATCACGTTGGTCCTCCAGACCTGGTTCCTGCAAGGCAGGCCTACAGGGCTGAGAAATTCTACCCAGAATGCTCTGTTCTCTTCAGTTGACCATCAGTGTTCTGAGTAATCTTGAAGCTGGAGTCGTGGAAGGTCCATCAACTTCCACAGAGCGGCTTTGCAGAAGAGATGAGCCTTTTCTGAGGAGATGGGTGTTGGAAGCCAAACTGTACAGAATTGGTTCCTTATTGGTATCAGACTCAGGTGTGTGGGCAGATGAGCGTGTGGTAGGTAGACTGCAGTGTAGACTCGTGCTGGTAAGCACCTCTGATGCTGAACGCAGAGCACGAGAAGAGAGAGTAGTGGAAGGAGTCCAGAAGGTCCCAGGTCAGGACAATGCTGGAGATTTGCAGAAAGGCCCGAGCCAGACTTTCTGTAAGGACCGGCAGACAGGAGTGCCGAGTGAGCAGAAGTGAGCGGTGGCAGCTAAGTGTGTCTTCGGGAGCCCTGGCAGGTGGGCCAAACACCGCGTCTCTGACTTGGTGGAATGGCGAGAGGAAAGGTGCTGGAAGGTAGTTCATCCATCCGCATGGGGAGAGCAGAGGAAGGGGGAAGCGGGCACATCAAGGGCCACGGAAAGCCTCACCCGCCCCCAGGGCAGACAAGGCATCTGCAGCCAGGCTTCCTCCCTCTACTGTGCAAACCGTAGTCAGAACATGACACGAGCTGCTCCAAGTGACACGCAGTGATCAAGAGGGCGAGGCTTTGCCGGAAGCTCCAGGCAAGGAGGACTAGCCGGAGGGAAGTCCCTTCTAGCAGTTCAGGTAGATCAGTGGAAACAGTCTTGCTTCTCTAATTTCTAGAAGCTTCCTTCCCTACAGTGCCTGTTGATCAAGAGTATCCATTTAACAACTAAGTATCTCTTGAGTTAAATGCCAGTGTTGACTATGATTCCCTGGGCTCTCAGACTGGGGTGGAAGTAGGTGGAGGGACTCCTGTAAAAGTCTGAACTCTTGGGTTTGAGAAGGAGGGTCCATGGGCAAGTGTACCTGGGGCACAAGCGTGAGTTCAAATCCCCAGCACTCACATAAAAAGCCAGGTGAGACTGCGCACACACCTATAACCCCAGCTCGGTGACAAGCAGGGACAGGACTCTGGGGCTCGCTGACCAGCAGCCTAGCTCTGGGTGCTAGCTCCTGGGACTAATCTAAGGCAGAAGTGACAGGATACCATACCCGATGTCCCGTTCTGAGTCCCCACGCACAAATGCCTACAGCATACAGCACACACACGTCTGTCTTTAAAACTAAGAAGCACAGTTGATCCATACCCAGCTTCCTTTCTACAGTCTGGCAGCAAGACACGCCTAGCACCAAAAGGCAGTCTTTCTTCTCAGTTACCCTCAACTTGTCATGGTCATTTTGCCGCTTTTCAGACAGGGACCTTTCCCTAATCTGCTCGAAGGTGGCACCAGCGTGTGTGTAGGTCCCCAGCTTCCAGTGTATGTTGCTCTAAGGCTTGGAGTGGAGAGGGAGGACATCTTTGGGAACACAGACTCTTCTGACTCTTTCATTTCCTGCTCCAAAGATTCATGAAAACCCCGGATGAAATCATGAGTGGCCGGACAGACCGTCTAGAGCACCTCGAGTCTCAGGAGCTGGATGAACAAGCGTACCAAGAGGACGAATGCTAAGGAGACCCACCATGGCCTCACCAGCTGGCCAAGAGGAAGCCTGCCCACAGGGACCCGCAGGAGGCGTGATGGAGCTGTCGAGCGAGGGGTGGCTGAGAAGGAAGAGACCCAGGAATGGCAGGCCCGCTTCTCTTGCAGATGGAGAGGGACCCAGAGCACCTTAGACAAACCACCCAGCAATGGCGGGGCTGGAATTCCGGCGGGGGGCACAAGCCTGAGACTCACATGTCGTTCGCTTCTCCTTCGGATCTCTTGTCTGTAACGCCTCACCCTCACCCTGCACCTGTTGTTAGTGGTGTTTCTGGTTTTGTTTGTTTTGTTTTTAAGAACCTGCAGTTTGACTATTCATCATTCATACAGGGGAAGACATCACATGTTGTTTTCCTATGGAAATATATCTATTATATATGTTATTATTATTATTTTTTGCAAATCTCACCAAGTACGGCCAGCTCAGCTGGTCAGGAAAGAGAAAAACTTACAGAAGGGATCAGGTTCCTCTTTTTCCCGCCACATGGGTCAGGTTTGTCCTGTCAAAGTCAGGAAGAGATGAGAAAGGGAAGGAAAAAAAAAAAAAAGAAAGAGTTCTCTCCCCATTCCCCTCCTGCCCTGCTCTTTTATTCATCCCGCCCTTCTTTTTTCTTATTCTCTGCCTGCTGTATTCCACTTCACATGCTTTTCACCAGAGCTAGCCTCACTAGCACCTGAACACTGAGCTTTATGTCAGACACCTTGGGCACCCATCTGAGGGAGGCAAGACACCCCACAAAAGCTGCTGTGCTCCAGGAAGATCAGTGGGAGGGCCAGGCATAAGGTAGGACCGAGCCTGGCCACATGACTTGGAAGGCCCTGGCAGCTTGGGATTGTCCTGTAAGTACTGCAGAGTGGGAAAATAAGAGAAGACCAAACAGGCCCGATGGTCCAGGAACTGGAGCAGGTCTGCAATGGGGAACAGGCCATCAAGTCTGTCCTAAGACATCTTGCCCTTGTGAGATTGCCACTCAGAGTCCTAGACTTTTTCCTTTTCTGGTCCTCGCTGAACACAGAACACACTTGAGGAGGGTCCTTCAGTACAGTCTCGGGCACAGCTAGTATTTGCACCAGAGCAGAAAGGAAATTCCTCAGATTCATTCTCTTTTTTTTTCCCCCCCCTACTATCATTGCTATATTTCAAGAGGATATGTTTGTGGCTCTTTTTCGCCTCCATATAAGGTCAGTAGTATCTTCGAAGATAAGGGTAATGCTATGCCTTGGAACTTTTCATAGCAGAGATTTTTAGATAACTGTTTTGGTGGGGTTTTTCCTTTTTTTGTTTGTTTTGGTTTTTGTTTTGGGTTTTTTGTTTTGTTTTTTTGTTTTTGTTTTTGAGACAGTTTCTCAGTGTATCCCTGGCTATCCTGAAACTCGCTCTGTAGATCAGGCTCTGTTGAACTCAGATCCACCTGCCTCTACCTCCAGAGTGCTGGTATTGAAGGCGTGTGCCACCACGCCTGGCTTTTTTTTCCCCTTTTCTAGCCATTTAAGTGGGCTCTTTGAAGCGTGGTGTGGTGTTTTTAAACCCAGATGATGAGGCCTGCCTTACAAAACCACTGCCTGTCCTCCTCCTGTCTCTTCCACACCCTGGGATGAGCGCTTCCCAGCCCTCTTGGATATGCCTGTGTTTGAGTAGAAGCAGGACACGGAAGAAGCTGACACAGCAGAGCTGCCCTCCAACATTGAGGTGAGGAGTACCTGGGCATTCCTCTCCAGGCCTCACTCCCCAGACATTAGCACACAGACAGGTGGATGGTCTGTAGTTCACAGACACTGGGATTGAGTCCATCTGGCTTCTTTAGTCTTGCTGTGACTTCCTTGTGCCTCCCCCATCTGCCTTCCAAGAGATCAGCAGCCTTCTGGGTGAGGGGTTTGGTCTCAGTAGTCCTGGGTGGTGATGAGAGTCACATGCTGCATGTTTCTTGAAAGAATGTCATCAGCGGAATTTCTTTTTTTCCTCTAAAATGACTGGTACCTTATCTCAAATGGAGACATTGAGATTAAGCCAAATACTTGTGTTGTATGAGCCACTGGAATGAAGAATGAGAGAGGAAGGGTGGGCTTTTTGTTTTTGTTGTGACTGAGGTCCTTTGTGTGAATATGAAATGAGAAACTAGGATACTCCTTCTGGCCGCTTCACCCAAGCGCAGAACTCAGTCTCTTAACTGCCCAAAGAGTCTTCCAGATGAGCTGTGGAAGGAAGTTCCTCTGTTCCCCAGGGAGTCCTGGGTGACAGCTTCAGCAGCACATTAGAGATGCTCATGGCAGTCCCATCTTTATTTCCCACCCAGTATTACCAAGTATTGATTTTCTTCGATTCTCTTGACTACGTCATCACTTGTGTTTCAGAGAGAAGACATGGCTGCTCTTGTCACCAGGAGAGCAGTGCTTTTAGGCTGCACACTCAGAAGGTTCACATTTAGTCAAGCACAACTTTCGGGGGACACCACTACGGGAGGGTTTTGTTGATGTTTGTATTTTTCCGCCCACCGTGGTCTTCTAGCTCAACATTAAGTTGAAGAGGTAATGGAACCAAACTATAAATTCATATGTCAGATGGATAGATAGCCCTTTCTCTGCAGCCATCATGGGTTGGGTCAGGAAAGAAAGTGCAAGAAAGCATTGCTGTGTGAGGGGTGGGCATTGTCATGTAGGTCCTGGACTTGTCTGTCTTCACGTCTCCTTCAGCAGAAAACAGTGGTAGCTGGTTATATATTGACAGGACATTCGTCTCAGATCTTTTTGATCCAAAGCAACTTGGTGACAGTTGAAGGCAGTGTTGCTAATAATCCATTTTTTTTTTTTAAAAAAAGAAGGGGCCTCATAAGAAAATAACAAAACAGGCTGATAGGGGTTTCTTCTTTCCCTAGTACATTCAGAACCCTCTGACCCAGCGTCTTTTTATACTAATACATTGTCCAGATAAGAACGTCACTTTAGCTGGCATCTAGAGGGCCATGAGAGGATCCACTGGACTGAGCGGCCACTCTGTCTTCTCACACAGCTCAGGATACAGCCGTAAACACATTTTGACACATTGACTCCTGAGAGAGCTTGTGTCACTCACCCTGGGAGCAGACAACATGACAGAATTAGACTCAGGATCCAACCTGTGTGCGGTTCTTAACGGCAGGCATAAGGATAAGCATTTACAGTGCAGTTGGAAGTTATACTGGCTTAAAGCCCCATCTGATCCATTCCCAGCAAAGAAACTAAAGATGCAAAGGGTGGTTTTTCACTGCCCAGTCCTTCGGTGCTAGTTGCTGCTGTGCATTCTCTCTGCCTGCTCCTCTTCTGAACAGAAACCTAAATTGAATGAAGTCCAGTGGGGCAGGGGGCACAGAGGAATACCCTGGATTCCTGCCTACCAGCAGGACGAGCAGGACTAACCCAGTATTGTTTTGGCCCCGTCTGCATCAACACTAAACAACTTCAAACTCCCTGACTCTTTCACCCTCACAAGTGAACATGCTCCTGAAGATTTCTCTTTGCAGCTGCACCCACCTGCAAGCCAGATGAATCTAGAATGAATTTTTGTTGTTGTTTAGTTTCTAATCTCTTGTTTATGAGGTGTGGGGTTTATAAGGGACTGAATCAAATGAATGTAACAAAAAAGAAAAAACAACAAAAAAAAAATGCCTTTTCTCAGGGCCAGTGAGTTGCAAATAATTTTTAAAGAAAAGCCTATAATTACATCATCTCAATAAATTTTTTATAAAAAAAAAAAAAGTAAAGTTCCAAGTCTCTGTTTTTAATAATATGAAATGGAATCAGACAGGCAAGAAGCTCTGATGATGTAAATCCTGTCTACTCAATTATGGAATAAAGTGCAGTCAAAGCTTCTCCTGGCAGGAAGCTGCCATTACCCAGCAGTCTGCAGGCAAGCTTTAGACAAGAAGCCCCAGGAAGGTCACAGCAGATCACTCTACTCTGAGCTGCTGCCACAGGTGGAAAATCTGCCTAAAGGAACTTCAATCAGATATGCCAAGGATGGGCTGGGTTACTAAGCAGAGATTAAGTAATCCTGGGTGGGTTAGCCCCTGCCAGGTAGTGAAGACATAAGCATGAGGGTGGCACCTATGGCCAAACCCAGGACTGGAGTAGCCTGGAAGATTGCCATACCCTATGCACTCAGTGTCTCTGCCACACTGGTAGGGCCATTAAAATTCCCAGCTCAAACAGCATAGCAGGTTATGGCGGTACCCAACTGTAAACCCAGCACATGGATGGTGGAGGCAGGAGGATCAGGAGCTCAATGTCAGCCTCAGCCAATAGCAAGTTTGAAGCCAGCCTGGGTTGCCATGAGATCTTACCTCAAAACACAGACCAAGGATCAGACACAACAAGTCACCACAACTATCTGTTTGCCATCAAAATAGAGGTTCAGATCGTGGGAAAGGAAGCAAATGGCAGGGCTTCGCCGCAGCTCAGATAGTAGGTTTGGAACTCAGGAGTTTAAAACTGATCTCAGAATATGTTAGGTTTCTTCTCTCTTCACACTGTCCCTGGGGTGTCCCTGGGTTGGACTGCTGAAACTGGACAGAGTACGCGATCAAGTAAAGTGTAGGAGGCAATTTCTGGGGAGCTGCGGTGCCTTTGAAACTACAATTTCTGATCATTCTCAATCTGAATCATCCGGGAATCCCTAGGAATGCAGATTGTCAGCTGGGATCCCATAAGCCGAATCAGAAGCTTTGGGGGTGGCACCTCCAGATCTGTTTCCGGGTCTCCAGGTGCTGCCCTTGTGTGCTGAGGTTTAGCATCATTCTCGTTGATGCACTCACTGTGCTACAAACGAGCGCACGGCTACAAAGGAGCGAGTGATGGCGGTTCCTGTGCATCGCGTGTACTCACAGACACTGCCACGCGTCTAAACAGATGGGGCCTGTAGAATGAGGCCAGGCACCAGGCAGACACACATACAATCATACCGAAAGTCAGCCTGCTTCCTCCAGGCCTCTTCAGCAGTCTGTCTACTACAGAGATGAGCCGTTGAAAGGGCAGCTCGAACAGATGACCTGCCCTAGCGAACTGCACATCGATTTATCCACTTAGGCCCGCTTGCCGATGTAACCGCCCTAATCTAAAGAGAGACACAGAGGGAGTGCCCTCACCTGCCGACTGGCTGTGGCTCCTAGAATCGTGAGGCAGAGCCTGAATGGACATGTGGCTGGCTGTTTGCTGAGGCCTCAGAGCACAAGCCTAGATCAGGACTGTGCCAACCTGAAAGTGCTTCTTCACTGGGGGGATTTCAAGCAACAGATCCGTATCTTGTTTTGTTCTGACATGGCCTTGTGTAGCCCAGGCTGGCTTCTAGCTCCCTAGGTACCTAAAGATGATCTTGACCTTCTGCTATCTCTGCTGCGGTTTATGCAGTGCTGGTAACAGAACCCAGGACTTTGGCGTTCAAGGCAAGCACTCCAGCAACTGAGCTGTACGTCCAGGTTTCTGCTTCCATACAAACGTGTTAGGAACCACGTCTGCTTTCATATGCTATTTTAGACAGAAGATCTGCTCCTGTCCTGTATTCTCTGGGTGGGACTTTAGATTCTTCACCCTTCCATGCTGGAAGCTGAACCCAGGGCCTTGTGCGGCCAAGCAAGTGCTCTAGGACTGGTTCCTTCCTCGACGTGAGTCTGCATTTCAGAGAACAGTCGATGTCAGTGGCTCCCAACCTTACTAATGCTGCGACCCTTTAATACAGTTCTTCACGTTCTAGTGACCCCAGCCATAACATTATTTTGTCGCCACTTCACAGCTGCAATTTTGACAGTGTTATGAATTGTAATGTAAATATTTGATACACAGGATATCTGATGCGCTACTTGGAGGACGCGACCCACGAGCTGAGAACCACTCCTCTAAGTGTTGCTGATGCAGCTGGTCTTCGGAGCACACTCTGTGTGTGTGTTTGTTGATTGGTTGGTTGGTTTTGTCTTTGGAGACAGAGTTTCTCTGTGCAGCCCTGGCTGTCCTGGCACTTGCTCTGTAGACCAGGCTGGCCTCGAAAGCACAGAGATCCACCTGCCTCTGCCTCCCTAGTGCCACCACCACCCAGCGTCAGAGCACAATCTTAAGTAGCAAGAGCTCAGTGACTTCCACTCAGGCCCCAGGCGCTGACCCCACTGCTGACCTCAAGAAGCCACCCCTTCACTGAGTGCCTTCCCTAAGGTCCCTTCCTGCAAGAAGTTTGCTTCGGCCCAGTGGGTACATCACTTGGCATGCAAGCAGAGTTCAGAGCCCCAGAACTCACTTAAAGGCCGTGTGGCCGTGTGGAATTGCTGTACTCAGAAGGCAGAGGATGGAGGATACCCCGACAAGATGGTTACCTTTCTCAGCTATCGAGGGAAGATCTGAATTTAACTGAGAGATCTTAGCTTACTGAATAGGGCAGGGAATGATCAACAAAGGCCCTGTTGTCAATCTCTAGCCCCCGGGTGTGCATTCATGCACAAGTACTTGTGCACACATACAGCTGATGTAGGTAAAATAAATGGATACGTGCATTTTATAAGGGAGCTCTCACCCCTACTAGAGAAGAGAAAACTCCAGTAGTAAAAGCCACGAAAGAAACTGCCTGATTCCTCAAACAGGAGAGCCATCTCTCCAGACTTCCTTAGCAATGCCCTCCTAGAATCTTCTGAGGACCCAGTCAGAACTTTGGCCATGATTTCAGGTTCTAGTTTGATTTTCATTACTGAGATGAAATTCCCAGACGAAAAGCAAGCTATGGAGGAACAGATTTGTTTTGGGTCTGAAACATTTGCAGGTTGTAGTCCATGACTGAGAGAAGGTCAAAGGCTCCGTAACTCAAGGCAGCTCATCACACCACATCCAAGAGCAGAGAGTGAAGAAGCACATTGACCCAAGGTTCAAAGTCCCCGTTGACACTCTTCCCAGGGGGTTCTAGGCTGTATCACAGTGGCAATTGAATCCGACCATCCCAGATACCACGTATCAGAGAGTATGTGCTTCACGGGTCTCTTGCAAGAGCTAAGTGACCCTTGTTTCTCCACTGGTAAGTGCACAAGTAGAACAGCTCCACATTCACAGGTGTGTGCATCTAAACACATGCATTTGAACAAGTACAAACACATAGACCACACACAGAGATAGATAGAAAGATAGATGGATGAATAGATAGATAGATAGATAGATAGATAGATAGATAGATAGATAGATAGATAGATA